GGGCGAGGGAAAGGGGGGGGAGGGGGAGGGGGGAGGTCTTACGACAGCCAAGCGGTAGCGTGGTGTTACCTGCTGCATCTGCGGGTTGCTGAACATGATGTTGCGCAGCATGTCCGGGTTGCTGAGCAAGCTCTTCGTGGTCCGAGGAGCAACAAACGGCGGGGGAAGAGGAAGAGCCAAAAAAAAAATAACATGGTTATCAGTGGGTGGGTGTCGTTCTGAGAGCAGCACATAGTCGGGACCTTGTGATTCAACGAACGCATGCTCGCAGTCAGGCGGCGGACAGATACACTAACGCATCGCCGCGATGATATTGTAGGCCTTTCCCTGTACGGCGGGAAAAAAAAAAATCGTCCCAAAAAGCAAAACATACCACATAACATGCACCGGACACATCCAATGATTCCTCGGACGTGCATTAGGCGTACCGACCTCATCCTGCAACAAGCATCACATGCGGGAACACAGCAGGCCGTAATCCACTCTGGCCTCAACTTCCGTTTCAGAAAGATGTGCCCCATACCTCCGCCCCCTGACACTCCTCCCTCTCCCCTGAGAGGGCACGACGACACTTTCAACGCACTCCTAAGGCTAAGGTAGGACGCCGCTATCCAGGATCCGTGAGAACTCCACCCCCCCCGTTCTTCCCAATTGCCTGGCTTTCGCATCTCAAACTTACCTTACGCATGCCACCTCACGTCGACACAAAAGGAAACCGCAAGAGTACAAGTAAGTGCTACACCAACGCATGGGGAGCATATGCGTGCGGCCCGTTCATCTTACGGACCAGCTTCAGGTCCCGCAAATCGACGAGCAGGGCGTCGGCACCGACCCCCGGTTGTGTGTGCTAGGAGATTTCTCGTGAAACACTTGAAAGGGCATCCGGCGACATAAATACGGATACCCTCCGAGTGTGCCACGAGAAGCTGCCGAACACACAAACGGGGATAGATGTCGCTATTCTGCTCGACAATTTGCGGGACCTGAAGCTGATACGTAAGATGAACGGGCGGCATAACGAACAGGCGGACCGCCATACGGCCAACCCACACCACACCACACGTGACACTGGTAGAAATATAAATGGTGCGGCGACACTGGCGCCAACCAAAATCTCAAGCGCCAGCTGCGGCGGCCCCCACAGCCGCGCATTTTTAGGAAACCCCCTCCCAGAGCTGCACGTAAGTGCGATAGATATAGGTTCGACCGACCACTTCCTCATATGGGCAAACATCGACCGATCTAGAAAGATGGAGAGTAAGAAACAGAGGAAAGTGTTCCGGTGGAAAGTAGAGCGTTTGGGAGACGAGATGACACGGGATGAATTCCAGAAGGGACTGGCTGGTAGTGGAAACCCCTTCAGGAAACTGCCGAGAAGCGTCGAAGACGAACAGGTAGTCGTACAAGCAGCAGGGGACAGGGTGATTGAAGGGTGGGAGTCCATCGTGAACGCAACGGCAGAGAGAGTAGTGGGAAAGAAGGTGGTACGATGTGGGGTATCGGTTAAGTGGTGGGATGACGAGCTGAAAGAAGAAATAGGGGAACGTAGAGAAGTCTCCAAGCAGTACCTGAGTAAGGCGTCTGAGGAGGGTTGGGAAAAGTACAGGGCCAAGAGAAAACAGGTGAAGGGACTAGTGAAAAAAAAAAAAATGTGAATTTTGGACCAAGTAGTGCAGAAGGCCACCGGAGGCCTGGCAGGGGAACGTCAAGCAGATGTGGGAAGGGATTAGTGGAATGGTAAAAAAGACCGCGCAAGGGGGGGATACAGGGGTAGCAACTTTGCGAGGTGTGAACGGTGGATTAGTCAGCAGTGGGAAGGGAAAAAGGGAAGTTCTAGCAGGACACTACAAGAGACTTGGAGTGCCCTCGGAGAATGAAGCTTTTGACCAAGCGTTTAAGAAGCAGGAGGTGGAGGCATGGGCCCAGAAAGAAGAGACATCGAAGGCAGACGTTGGGAACGTAGAACTAGAAAAGGAGTTCACTGAGGACGAGGT